TGTAATTATTTCAAGATCCGAGCCACATAAATCCTGTGGCACCCACATTAACCATTGTCGGAGCGATGGAGTTTATAATGGTCTAATCACATGGAATGATGACATTGTGTCTTTAGAGCAATTGAAATTGCCAAAAGGCCACAAGGATTCAACTTTAAGGTCAATGAACTGACCCCTCATCAAAATCTTTGTCAATCTGATCTCTGGACGTTGAATTGTCCGCCAACCTTCGTATAAGTCATAGAAGACTAAAACTAGTCGACTGATGAACACTATGGAACTAGAAGGTCTCATCAATCAATCATTTTTTACACACTTCAACTCTTGATATCTAGACAAGACGTTTACGAGATAAGATTTTATCTGTTCTGTAAATAAGCTATGGGAGTAAAATAATCGTCTCATGACATGGCTCCAAAGAAATTCAGGCAGCATTATCACTCTCAATGAATTATGATATTTGAAATTTTGCGAAGTAATTAGTCAGGATAAATATGAATTCAACTATTGAAAAAATATACTACAATCTCCACACACCTCCGTTCTAAAGTAAATATCTCCCGGTTTTGTTGTTAAATTAGCTGGGAAGGAATAAAGCAACATTCGATATAGATTTTAGAGTAAGCCTTTCATGTGTGACTGACCCCATCTCTCCTGTAGAATATTAGACGGTAGTAAATGACAAAGATAACCCGGTACATGCCATTTTCATAGATCACGATGAGGTCTTAATAAATTCTCTCCTCTAGGTATTGACCGAAAAGTTTTACAAGCAATTTTAAAGTAAAAGTCTTGATTCACGAATTTCATGGTCATAGTGTGCGGTGTAGAAGAGCTAAAGGTACACAGTGAAGTTCCAAACAGGACTATCCTAACACAGCTCCCAGTTTCGCTCTATATGACTAAGTTACCAGGTCGTAAAATCATCTGATCTATTGTTTGCAGATGATATCAAGGGATTGAAACCAATAAGCAATGTGACTGAGGTGGTAAGATTTCAGTAGGATTTTAATACCTTGATTGTTTGGACAAATCAGTGGTCGTTGGAAGTGAATCCTAGGATGAGAACAGTAATGTCAGAAAATCACTGTGATGATTTTAACTACTACCCAAAGTAACTGATCACACAGATTTAAGAGTTCTAGCAATTGGTGATTCAATAGCCTCAAGTTACCACAATGTAACTGTGGCTATGTGGTGTTTGGATTAACTAATGTTTTTATGTGCTTGTTGACTGCTTGATTTCGAATTCTAAATACAATACATTCGTTTGTGCTCATCTAGTACTTCTTAATTCAATCGCGTTATTTCGGGGATTCTTAGTTCATACTACAATTCAAATAATTCAAAACATCAAAGGTTAACATTTGCCGAGTCTTATGGGTGATTAATGAGGACTTTAGTAACATGGACAAAGATATGTTAACAATATTATTCACGAGATATGTCTTAAGGGAGTTGAGATATAGAATTCAAGCTGCGAGTTATCCTATAGAATATGAAGCGGATTTGTTATAACGAGCTCGACAAACAGAGATAAAAAATGTGAGGAATCATTCCTATCTATCTTATAAAGATCAAGGATATAGATTGAGGTTCAAATGATTATGGATAGAATAGAACAAGCTTTCGTTTAACAGACCTTCGTGTCTAGTAGCAAGGGATCACCAGTACCTCCAGGCAGGAACCTAGGTATATTAACTATAGTAGATTTTTATAAAAACGAAATTGGTAACTCATAACAAGATTTTATCCTTAGTTTTTGAGAATACGTCGAGTTTCCTCTTAAGGGACTCCTAGGAAGTCGCTTGGACTAGTTCAGTCGGCAGCGAATTCCAGCATTTGACAACTCTTAAGGAATAGAAGTTGTGTCTACAGTCCGTTCTGCTATGTTGTAACTCCAATTTCTGGGTGTTATCCCTTAGGTTTGTGTTGATACTAAGCTTAAATAAATGTTTAAGGGGTGTTCAGAAATGTTAAGGATACAGTGGACCATTAGAAAGTCACCTCTAAGACGCCTGTATTCTAATGGGCAAAGTTTAAGCGATTGGAGGCGTTCTTCATTAGGCTTGAATTTCAGTCCTCGAAGTGATTTTGTGGCTCGCCGTTGGATATGCTCCAGAGTGTCCTTATCATTTTGGAGTGAGGGAGGAAATACTATACTTCCATACTCTAAATCGAGACGAATGAAACTGTTGAAGATTATGTGGAGAGTTCTTCCGTCAAACTGGCCAAAAATGCGCTTCAATGTTATCAGTGCAAGGTTTGCTCGAAAAGCATTTTTGTCACAGTTAGCGTACGACTTCAAATCGTAGGGCACCGGGACTCCTCAGTCTTTTTCGGCTCGGGATACTACTAGAGAGGAGTTTCTAAAGTTGTAACTGTAGTCTGCGACATGTCGCGGATGGACTACTTTACACTTTGAAGTGTTAAAGATAATTCCGTTATCGTCTGTCCAACTCTGAAGTCGAGTCAGGTCCTCCTGAAGTGCCTGTATATCCTCTCCGTTGCGTATCTCTCTAAAGTTGCACATCAGCAAAAAGTAATAAGTCTGACGACACCTGTTATGGAAGATCATTTATATATATCAAGAAGAGAAGAGGCCCTATTACTGAGCCCTTGGGGACCTCACTAGGACATCCCATAGCCCGAGATAAAGTGAAGTTAACCCTGACCTTAGAATGTCGATTTTCCAGATATGAAATGAGCCAATCAATTAGAAGTGGTCTGATACCCAATCACTTGGGCTTACTGATAAGACATATATGATTTACCCTATCAAAAGCTTTTGAGAAATCAAGGTAAATGATATGAACTTTCCACTTGCGATCAAGGTTGCTTGTCCACCTGTCCACCGCAGTCAGAAGGTTGGTTATACAAGAGTAACCCTTCCTGTTGGAATGAGAAGAAATTTAAAGACAGTAAACAGTCATGTATACTATCGCATATCAGGGACTGCATGATTTTCGAAGACATAGGGAGAAGAGCCACCGGTCGATAACTTGAAGGTTCGCTGCGTTGACCTCCTCTGAAAATTTGTGTGATGTGAGCCAGCTTCCAATTTTCCGGTGGGTTTTCGTGCCTCTAGGTAACTCTTGTGCTACTGACAGAAGAAACCAGACAAGTAGTGAATAGGTCTTTATTTAGATCTTAGCACAGTCACAGTAGAACGTGGGATTATTTTTTCAGACAAATACTCTCGACATATAACGCCTATACAAAATAAGGAAGTGAATGAATACTTGAACCATACTGTTTTGACATATGCTTAGTTGTTTGAGATGAACTCTTAACCAACCAACCTAAGCTAATACAAGTTTACCTTGGCTTAGTGAATGTGAGAGCACTACACCACGCGGTGTTGCCACGATTGAGGCCGCTTCCCTCAGTATAGCAGAATGAACCATATCTGGGCCAGGAGAAGCGCCTTTTCTTAGGTACTGCAGTTTCCGAAACACCAAGTCAGCGCCCAGGTTCACTAAGGAAATTCCTTTTTCAGTTGCAGATGGAGCTGTCCTCAGTATAGTTGATGTGAGTTGGTTGAAATGTCCGGGAGTATTTTTCAGCCAAAAGGTTAGCGGCGTCGCCGTCGTTCTTGGTCGGGCCATTAGGAGCTAGCAGTTGGGAAACCCCAGTTTTGGTTTGACGAAGAGAGGCTGCACAACGGAATAAGCTTTTCGGATTGGAGACAAATTTATCCATAAGCTTTATCTGGTGATGAAGCCTGTCTTTTCTTGAAGCCTTCGTGCATATGTTCCTTGTATGTTTGTATTGCCTGTACGCTCCATTGTTGTCAGTTCGTTTGTATTCTGCCCAATCGTGCCTTTTGCGGCTTAGCAGGCGAAGAGTGAGGTTCTTGATGATTGTAGTTTGCTTGTAGCTATTTGGGACCGTTTGGGAAACTGACTGCTTTTTAGCACATAAGAGCATGTGCAGTGAGGAGTCCCAATGAGCATCCACATGAAGTTGAGGCTGAACATCCCAATCCACCTGTTGTAAATAGTCCTGTAGAGCTGACAAATTCAACCGTTTGAAATTCCAGCGCATTTTGTTGGTGGAATATCTTAGCTTAGTTTTGTTGACAAAACTCAAAGCTACGACGGCGTTATCGCTTTTCTCCAGAGGAGAAAGGATTGAGAGGTTGTCAACTAGAAATTCTTACTTTGTAAATACTCAGTCTAAGCGCGACGGTATCTGACTGTTTCTCAAACGAGTAAACGGCTTCACATTTTCGTTTAATCCCAGGTCCTTAATGAGGCTGGAGAACTGAGCTTCAGTTGAGTTTTCGCCTCCATTATACGTATGCTCCGCGAAACTGACTCTAGGGAGATTGAAGTCCACTAGAATCAGGACATGAGTGAATCTGAAACGGGTTGAGCGGGACAATCCTTGCAGCATACGACTGTCATAATTAGAAGTATCCAAAATAATGTACTAACCAGGAATTCCTGAAATAGTGCAATTTACTGCAGGTAAAACTAGGTGAGCACAAATGAACGTAATATATTTAGAATTCGAAATCAGCGGGCCTTCAAGTGCAAAAGGTTCATTAGTTCATACCAATATCACAGTGTTTCAGTCTATCTTGCTGTAAAATAAAAGTTTATCAGAGGTTGGATTACTCTACACTGAATGAAAAAATTTGCGATAATGTATTGCGCATTTTTATTACACCTGGGATTGATGGTCTGAATGGAGATTCTCATACAGTTAAATAATTGGAGACTAGATAATCTACGTCTGAAGTTGCATTCGATTTATAAAGTAATGAATGACTGGAATTAACTCAATGAACATATGGTATCAGTACCTTCTTCAGATATATTCACAGTTTAGTGGGATTCACGCAGACCTACGAATCGCGAAAATTAACATTGATCACTTGTCTTTTGTCTATTTCTGTCTGTTATATATATATATATATATATATATATATATATATATATAGAAAGAGAAAGTTAATCTTGATGCGGTAGTACCAGACACAGTATATCGTTAAGCAGAAACTCTTCCCTTCCTGGCAAACGTCACTTGAACATATAAGAACCTTATTCTGACCTTCATACAGGTTGCTAAGTTCGAATTCTTTGCGCAGTCATGACTTCAACGATAGAAAGACCGATATGGGATGATGTGGACGTAAGTACTCTACTTAAGTATAATGTTTTTGATTCAGGAAGCTATGGTGGATGAAGTTATGCGCATGTCAACTGAAGAGTTAACAAGTAGAGCAAGACTGCTTGATTCCGAAATTCGTGTAAATCAACATGTCGTACCATAACGTTGTTTAGTTTATGCAATCTGAGTTAAAACACGTCAATCATGAAATAAACACGAAACAAACAAAAGTTAAGGACAGTAAAAGTAAAATAAAAATGAACAAGGCACTCCCCTACTTAGTAGCAACCGTCGTTGAAGTACTATCACTGTTTCCTTATCTTAATTCCCTTAGTTGCTAGATGTGGAGCCTCAGGAAGATGAGATAGAGGAGGGAGCAAACGTTGATCTTGATTCTCAGCGTAAGGGAAAATGTGCAGTTATAAAGACAAGTACTAGACAAACATACTTCCTACCGGTCATTGGTCTTGTACCCCCCGAAGACTTAAAACCTGGAGACTTAGTTGGAGTACATAAAGACTCATACTTGATACTTGAAAAACTTCCGCCGGAATTTGACTCTCGAGTAAAGGCTATGGAAGTTGATGAACGTCCAACCGAGAGATATAGTGACATTGGTGGGCTTGATAAACAGATACAGGTAAGAAATTATTCACTCAACTTGACTTTTCAAGGAATTGATTGAAGCCGTTGTCCTTCCTATGACGCATCGTGATCGTTTCGAGGCACTTGGTATTCAGCCACCAAAAGGAGTCTTATTGTATGGTCCACCAGGTACAGGAAAAACACTGCTGGCCCGTGCATGTGCAGCTCAGACCAAATCCACTTTTCTTAAACTTGCTGGTCCTCAGTTAGTGCAAATGTTTATTGGAGATGGAGCTAAACTGGTCAGGGATGCCTTCCAATTAGCTAAAGAAAAAGCTCCAGCAATTATTTTCATCGATGAACTCGACGCTATCGGTAAACGTCACAAACTTAAATGTTCATCTATATTTTGAAAATATTTAGTCGAAATGACAAGCTCTATTTCACTTGTTCACTTAGGTTTCCTCACAGTTACCTTCTTAATATTAGAGATCATGTATCTGCTTTGGACTCCTTGTCCCATCATTCGCTCTTCCCACCATTTCAGGTTATATCATTCAGCACTGTCGCTTGATTGCTTGACACATATATGCTTCCTTAGACGTCCCAATATTTTCAGTCTGTTAGTATTCGGATAGTTTATAAATTCATGCAAATCGGAAATCGCATCCAAAGGCTTGCCTTTTGTTGTATTATGGCCAATCATAATGTTTTATTTAGGCTAATATTGTACTAACTTGTCTTGTGTTATGTATCGTGTTTAGTCCGTGTTTCTGCTTCAGTACATACTTCCTAGATAGTTATGTTATGTTCTTACGAATGGATTCCTGGTTGTAATATTTTATACTAAAGACTGATCTTGCTATGCACATTGAGTGAAGGGCTTAAGATCATCAGACAGAAGTGTGAACAGGACTCCTGCTAGACTTACTAAGCTTTTATAAATTGACATGGTTGCAAATCCCATTCGCTTTAGGAGTGCATTAACAGTGATACTTTTCGACCAAAAACATCCACTTAGATCACAAACTGACTGGTATAGAAACTAAAACTTCATGTGACAGTATTTAGAAGCCGTACAGTTCTGCGATTGGTTGATACACTAAAGTGCATGAATCTCCAGACCTTTTTCGGACGTAAAGGGTTTCTTTCTACAACGCCTCTTGTGTGTCTAGAAAGAACTAGCACTGGTTCTAGATTTAGGTCTCAAGACCAGTTCTGTCTTATGGTTAAAAAAATAGACTTTTAGGTTGAACATTCATCAAGTGTGTTATTGGATCATATAAAGTAGAACAGAAATTTTACTAATCAAGATTTATATACCTTAGTCTTTTCTCGCTTGCTCTAATAACAGTTTCGAGATGGTGGAGATGTGTAGCCCAGGTGGCTATTTTTAGTGGAGTTTCGTTCTCTGAGCTGGATGGTTTAGTTGTGGAGCTTTGATTATTCTTTTGAACACAAGCTTCTGGCGAAAGAACAATGGAAGCTCCACAACTAAACCATCCGGCTCATAGAACGAAACCACCAAAAGTAACAATTTTGCCTTATGTTTATTCATATATCTTGCAGTGCGTACACCTGTTATCTGGTTGCCATTGAATATATGGTGTTTTATCTTCTTCATACCTCCGAAAGTCGGTAGAATCTGACAGACTTATTCATAGCTTCTGAAAAATCATTGCGAAACTGGAACAAAAATGATAAATGGGTTTTCCAAAAGCATTTATTTGCTTACTTACGCTTGTTACTCCCAATGAAGCATAGACCACCGACCAGCATTCTTCAACCCACTCTGTCCTGGGCCTTCTTTTCTAGTTCCATCCAATTCTTGTTCAATTTTCTCATGTCTATCTCCATTTCCCGGCGTAATGTGTTCTTTGGTCTTCCTCTTTTCCTTTGGCCTTGAGGATTCCATGTAAGGGCTTGTCTTGTAACGCAGTTCGGTGCTTTCCTCAATGTGTGTCCTATCCACTTCCAGCGCTTCTTCCTGATTCCTTCCTCTGCTGGGATCTGGTTTGTTCACTCCCACAGTACGTTGTTGCTAATAGTGTCCGGCCAATGGATCTGAAGTATTTTGCGTAGACAATTGTTAATAAACACCTGTATTTTCTGGATGATGACTTTCGTAGTTCTCCAGGTTTCTGCCCCATACAGTAGAACTGTCTTGACATTTGTATTGAAAATCCTGACCTTGATGTTGGTTGACAGTTGCTTTGGGTTCCAGATGTTCCTCAGTTGTAAATATGCTGCTCTTGCTTTGCCGATCCGTGCCTTCACATCTGCATCAGATCCACCCTGTTCATCAATGATGCTGCCCAAATATGTAAAGGTTTTTACATCTCCCAAATCATCTCCGTCAATTTTGATTGGATTGGTGCATGCTGTGTTGTATCGGAGAATCTTGCTTTTCCCTTTGTGTATGTTGAGACCTACTGCTGCTGAGGCTGCTGCCACACTGTTTGTCTTCTCCTGCATCTGTTGTTGCGTTTGGGATAGAAGGGCCAGGTCGTCTGCGAAGTCTAGATCATCCAACTGCATCTTAGATGTCCATTGTATCCCGCGCTTTCCTTCAGATGTTGACGTCTTCATGATCCAGTCGATCACCAGGAGAAAGAGGAAGGGTGAGAGTAAGCAACCTTGCCTAACACCGGTCTTCACTTTGAACGACTTTGTCAACTGTCCTCCATGCACGATTTTGCAGTGTAATCCATCATATGAGTTCTGTATGATATTGACTATCTTCGGAGGCACGCCGTAGTGTCGAAGAAGTTTCCATAGTGTTGTCCTGTCCACGCTATCAAATGCCTTTTCGCAGTCAATGAAGTTGATGTAGAGTGATGAATTCCATTCAATTGATTGTTCCACAATGATCCGTAGAGTTGCGATTTGTTCTGTACACGATCTATCCTTACGGAATCCTGCCTGTTGGTCACGAAGTTGTGAGTCTACGCAGTCCTTCATCCTGTTTAACAATACTCTGTTGAAGACTTTTCCCGGTATTGAGAGAAGAGTGATGCCCCTGTAGTTATCACACCTGCTGAGATCGCCTTTCGGTATTTTGATCAGAAGTCCTTCTTTCCAGTCTTTTGGTACTTGTTCCTCATCCCAAATCTTATTGAAGAGAATGTGGAGTATCCTTGCAGTTGCCGCTACGTCTGGTTTTAGTGCCTCTGCTGGAAGGTTGTCTGGTCCTGCTGCTTTGCCACTCTTGATTTGTCTGGTGGTCATGCCGATTTCTTCAATTGTTGGTGGGTCAATATTGATTGGGAGGTCCGTGGGTGCTGTTTCGATGTTGGGTGGGTTCAGTGGAGCTGGTCGATTCAAGAGTTCTTTGAAGTGTTCTACCCACCTGTTTTGTTGCTCTTCAATGCTGGTGATTACCTCACCTTCCTTGCTTTTCACTGGTCGTTCTGGTTTGCGGCGATTTCCAGAGAGTTTCTTTGTCGTGTCATGCAGTTGTCTCATGTTTCCTTCTCTTGCAGCCTTTTCCGCCGTCGTTGCTAAATCTTCCACATATTTACGTTTGTCGGTTCTGATGCTCCTCTTCGCTTGTTTGTTTACTTCTGTGTATTCAGCTTGTGCCTTGGCATTTTCTGCTCTTGTTCGACTAGTATTGATTGCTGCTTTCTTGTTCCTCCTTTCTTGAATCGTATCCAGTGTATCAACAGTGATCCATTCCTTGTGATAGTGCTTCTTGTGACCCAAGACCTCATGACATGTTGAAGTGATTGCTTCTTTTATCCCCTTCCAGTTGCTCTCCATAGTAGTTCCTTCTCCATTGAGTAGATCATGAAAGGCCTGGAACTTGTTGCTAAGGTGTATCTTGAATTTGTTGAGTTTGTTAGTATCCTGAAGAAAGGCCGTATTGAACTTTTGTGATATTGCCCGCCCCATTGTCCAGTGCTTCTTGAGTTTCAATTTCATCTTGGCGACCAGCAATTGATGATCTGATGCTATATCAGCTTCTCTCTTGGTTCTCACGTCCTCTATAGTCCTCCTGAACGTTTTGTTGATGCAAATATGGTCGATTTGGTTTTGCGTGGTGTGATTCGGTGAAGTCCATGTGGTTTTGTGTATGCGTTTATGTATTTAAGTGTATAAAAACGTTTTCAAAAGGAGCACATCAAACCAAGTGCTCTCTGCTCAACTAAATATTGCTAATAATCATAGTACTAGAAAGCGGACATTTTGTTAAGTATTACCGGAACATTACATTAATAATTTTAACTTTCCGTAATTTCACTTAGCTGATCTATAAAGTGGATAAAGCTTGTATTTCTTGGCCACAGAAATCTATTGTCGATGAAACCAGTATGCTCACACTGTTTGTATTTCGAACTATTTTATTTGTTCCTTATTGGAAGGGCATTAAATCTTCACCTTTACTGTTCGAGCATCAACACCTCTTTTCGTGACTATGTTTAAATTTTACACATAAAATATGCAGTAAGAACGACTACATAAAATGCTAGTGGTATTAAGCAACTAGTTATTCATTTTCGCAGCTGTTATCCTATTACTCAATGTAATTCAATAATGCTCCTTAAAACATTGCTACCGTAGCAATTTTGTTAAACAATCGTCCCAGTGAATATAAACCAAGAACAGTACAAGTTTCTGCGAAATAGTCGCCAACTAATACAACAAAGTCTGATTTCTAGTCGTAACTATATACTTTTTAGGGTTATCAGAATAACAAATTTCAGAAGTTTGCTAAAGCTTCCAGCCTAAGCTAAATTGAGACTTATTCTTGTTTTAAGGAACGAAGCGTTTCAATAGTGAGAAAGCTGGCGATCGTGAAGTACAGCGAACAATGTTGGAACTTCTCAATCAACTGGATGGTTTCCAACCAAACCATGACATCAAGGTGATTGCGGCTACAAATAGAGTAGATATATTAGACCCAGCGCTGTTACGAAGTGGTAGAGTTGATCGAAAAATAGAATTTCCTGCACCAAACGAAGAAGCACGTGCCCGCATTATGCAGATTCACTCTCGGAAGATGAATGTACAGTAAGTTATCTAATCTATTCTCACCAAAACATCACTTCAGAAAAGATGTCAATTTTGAGGAGCTAGCTCGCTGTACAGATGACTTTAATGGAGCTCAGTGCAAAGCTGTATGTGTGGAAGCAGTAAGTTGTATCCATTATCATTTTTGTCGTATTTGGTGACTGACATCTTAATTTTAGCCTACTTTAGTTGTTTAGTTTCCATTAAAGATTTAAACTAATTAAAGAATTTAAAAGTCGTCCAATTTCGTTATTCAAAAGCTTGCTGATTAAATTGTTTTTATGGTTTGATTCATTTTTAGTTGTGCTCTTTGTCTTAGATAGCTAGTAATATGAAAGCTGCTATATGCGCGTTGTATTTAGCCCAGAGTGTGATCTGTGCAGTGCCGAACAAATCTAAGTTTATTTGAGGGTCTCTTGTTTAGACGTTAAACAACATCAAGTCGTAGATTAGATCAGGATAACAAACTTCGGTGAAACTAACTACAGTCAGAATCTCGAATAAACTAGTGAGAGGAATCGGGTAAGTGTGGAGAGCAGTGAAACATACAATATTCAAATGAGTTAAGCCGTAAAAGCATCTGCGACACGATAACATTCTAGATTAGTCTACCTAGTCCCTGTAACTGCCATCTTCAAGCATCACGCGAAAGCTTATAGTGGCATGCACGGATGTGACTGGCTGACCAAAATAATAAGATTTGTATTAGCTGATTTAAGTGGATATACTTTAAAGTAGTTTAAAGGATCGTGGGGCGGCAGCTTATTGGTTAGGGTGTTTAAATTTCGGTCACTAACGTCCAGATGTGGACCTCGCCCCACCTACTTCGGTTTAGGCAGCGGGGCAGTATCAGTGTGATTCATTCCCAAGTACCTGATGAATAAGCCAACTCATATTTATTTGTGAAAGAAAAAAACGTAAGAAGAGATTAAATAGGTAAAATCAGAGTAACAGCCTAATCCATTTTCATATGGTAGTCAGTCGTAATTCAATAATAAGTAAAGTAAATGGGGGCTTCCTATCAAACTACTGAGTAGATGTGAAATGTTTATTTTACTAGTTGCAGTGTCAAGGAATTCCTGGGAGTTACAATTGCTGTAAAATTAGGTGAAGAAGCTTTCAGATTAAAGTTGTCTAATCGTAGGTCCCATGAGAAAAAGCCAACTGAGTAAATAGAATATTGCAACTAATTAACAGAATTTAAGATTCCAAAGCAAGCAGTTGCGTACGCACCACTAATTGTCTAAATGATTAATTATCGAGAGTCTTGAGCCATTAACTCTTTACCATCTTACAAAATCTAATTTTTCTTTATGCCTTAGTCTGGAGATTATATATACACCTAACGATCTGCCTTTATTTTAGCTGGAAATCCTTATAACGATCTGCAAAATGCTAGTAACTCGTCAGTATATTTTAACTGACTGGCTCAAGTCTACTCATCGGTTTATAGACACTTAGGCTAACCTTTTACAAGATATTTGCATGTTGCTTAGAAGATGAGTTAGTCATTGCTTATATTATAAAACTGTTCTTATTTTTTCAGGGTATGATTGCGTTGCGTCGAAGTGCGTCAGAAGTAACACATGAAGATTACATGGATGCCATTTTGGAAGTTCAAGCTAAGAAGCGCACTAATCTAAATTACTATGCCTAACTACCATTAGATTATTGACAGCGTGGTTTTTATATTAAAATCACAGATGGTTTTAAAGTATACTGGCTGGTGTACCGTCATCACAGTACTTTGTGTTACGAGCAGCTGTTCGTGATCCTCCGTTATTTGTTAAAATATACCTTGTATTTATTTGACTTCAGGACGATGTGGTGTTCTATTTATCAACCTGATTGATGCTGTTCAATTGTTTTTCTTTGTTTTATCATCACTGTTAGTGTGATAACTAATTTGTTTTTCCCTTTATGATGTCAACGCCATCATCTTGTCTTTACGTATTCTTAGGACAGTAATTTTAACTGATTTGGAGTTGTGCCATCATGTTTTAGATCGAACCAGAGGCTCGTACGCGTTCTAACTACTTCGTTAACCTAGTAATATAACTAATTATTACGCAGCGATGTATCGAGTTAAGGTTTCCAATGACACCTTTAATCAAGCAGTGATATATGCCAAAACGATTAAAATATGACAAAAGGTGTGACTTTTATTTCAATTTACTGTTATATGAAGCACTCATGAATATATTGGCGTTTACATATAACATAACAGAAACATCATTCAAGGGTTCACAATTGTCTGCTAAAATTTAGGATTCAAATTCGAGTTACATACAAAACGAAAGGCATTCAGTTTATTGGTAAAATAAGTTTTAGCATAAAACTGTTTTGAAGCATCTTTCTTCTAAGTAAATGTACAAGACATATATTTACAGAAAAATCTTACTGTTTAGCAGTCTCGTTTGATATTTTGGAGATTTCGGAGACCCTTAAAACAATGCTAGAAATAACCAGATAACTTACTTCTAGAAACAACTTTATCTGAGCTTTTATAGAATTAGCTCTTTTCTTGTACATATCGGCACGCCCGTTCAGGATAGAGATGCGCGAATCAATGATATTTAAGGCTTCAGCATGACTGCACTCAAGGTAAAATCCTAGGCCAATGTCAACTGCAATGGGTTCAACAGAATAACTTTACATTAAATAGTGTTATGGTCTTACATCAATCCATTTACATAAATATTGCTTCCGACATTTACTTTGGTTTTTAAGTTATTTTGAGGGACATCGATATCCTTCATTTTTTCAATAAGATTTTTTAGTTCCAAATATTCCGAAATTTGACCATACACTAAGTCCCCAGCATCTAAAGTTTTTCTGGATTTTAGATATATTTAAAGAACACCCAAGATACTTGAGGTCCGTTTTCAAAGTCTCATTAACGTGCTCTTCCAGTTTTAGTATCCTTTGGTCCATTCTTCATGAGAGTCCCCCAAGGATCGGATTAATGGTAGCTAGGTAATAATTAAGTTCTATAAGGATCAAAGAACTACATTGGATGGTTTGGGAGGTATCACATAAAATTTAAAGCAAAACAATAATTGTGACGTGGATGAGTCAAAAAAATTCAGATACTAGTTTATGTCCATCATGCGATTAGCTTTGTCGCCTTTGATTTACTCTTGCTGTCCTTCAATTGAAAAAAGTACGAATTGAGAATAAAAACGATACTGAAAGTACTTTATTTCATCTAGTGAGTGTTGCGATAATCGAGTGACACCTGAAGTATCAGAGGATGATGGAGTGTACATATATATTATGCATGGAGGTCTAAGTGAAGTGAATAGTGATGTCCAAAACAATAGGGGGAGATTTGTATCTCGACATTTCAGCTTGGAGAACAGAACTGAAGTGCTACAAGCACTGATTAACAAACTTGACACCAACTACCACATAATATGGTTCAAGCTTGCAGTCAGTCACAAACAACATACAATCTGGGACAAAAGTGTATCATTTAAACAAGAGCAACGTAAGGGAATAAGTTGATACAGTTTAATTTGGAGTAAAAATAACTGAAAAGTGATGTGATGATGAAATTAAGAAACAAGTCACATGAAACCGAAGGTCCATGGGATGATAAGGAATGGATATATCTCTATCACCGAGTCGGATTTCGGACCACAAAGTGTGGTCTGTTACCTTAGGCTTCGACTAGCTCACAAGTTTCGACGTGACATAGTTGGCTTCAGAGTTCATGGTCTCATTTATTCGTCTAATATCGTAAGTTAATACTATGTCTAACCTAACTACTAACCTATCGGTGATTTTCTCATATATGAGCAACAACTTGAAGACATGTATGACCTACACCATAACCTACATTTCCACGAGTGACATCCTATGCCACGTTCTGAAATGCGACAAAACCCAGTATGGTCATATTTTCTCTTCAAATTCAACAAATTATGAGTTGTCAGTTTTCCTTACCAGAAACTTTTTGCAAGTAACAATAACAGATTAGTTTGTGTTAACCACAGCTGGTGACCAAATTCACTGAAAACTATGAATATGATCGAATCTACTATTTTGTGTAGATTTTAACAATATATTGTTATTTAATAATATGACTAGTTAGATTAGGAAAATCTTCGCCATAAAAACTAATATCTAAAATGAATATGTACTTGGAAATGAAACAAAAGAAGGGAGATGAAAAAAGGCAAATTCTCGCATGTTCACCTGATTACCTCTGTTTTTACATACTAGAGATTTAGTGTCCTTGATCTTTATCCATGCTAATCATGTGTCGTTTAAAATCCATGGAGTCAATTAAAACAGAATAGGCAGTAAAAAAAGCCTAGCTTGCTCAGCAATATATCTTAAGAGAACTTTTAAGGGCCATATCGTTAACACTTAAGTGTTAATTATTTCAAACGAACAAGTAAAAATGCTCAATATTGGTGACCATGAATGAAATCACACACAAATAAAAAGTGTTTTGAGACCAATACAAAAGTGATGGACGTTTATACAATGCAGATAGGTGGACAAGGCAATACCAAAATTTTCAGACGCCTTGTAACGCGACAGTTGAAAAGTTGCACAATACTCAATGTCCTTGTCACGACCTTGTATTGGGCGACTGAATTCGAAATAGCTTTTTCTCTCAATGTCGTTCTAGGTGTTTCTTTATGTTCAGAATAATAAGACATCACTAGTGTAAACGTGGTTTGTAGCAGTTTTGCAAGACTACTAATCGATGAAACGACTTAGTTCTCACGTCATTCAAAAAGAGCAGTGATTTTGTACTTGATGTGATCCTTGCTTTTGTGTACTTGTTGCATCAAAGCATTGTTGGTCTACTTTATATCAAAGCAATTTAGTTAAGGTTTGAAATCTTGCTAAAGTTTGTTTTGTGGTACCCTCTTACTAATTGACTGACACTTGTATTCATACTGTGATCATATCGTGTTTTAAACCTTAATCTGATTACAATGGTTGGTGGTACTTATAAGTGTGGACAATCAAACTGTTTGTTCCCCGTGGAGGAAGGAATGCAGTGTGATGAGTGCAAAGAGTGATTCCATAAGATGTGTACTCGTTTAAGTCCCACCGCATACAAAAGATGCTCGAAGCCTAACTTGCACTGGCTTTTCAGGTTTTGCTGTGCAAATAAGACGTTACTAATACAGGAGGCCAGAAGCCTATTTGCTTTGGCCTGTAAGAAGAACGGTGGCGGTTGCGCTGATAACACGAGCACTGGCAGAGAAGAATGTGTCAGTGTAGTACGTGCTGTCACGAGACGCTTCAAACACCCGGCTGCTATTGACGGAAAAGTGAAATTTCTGTTAACATTAATGAGTAGGGAAGTCCCACCTGACAATGACATTGGTAATCATGCACCTTTAGTGGGAATTGAAGACCCAAATAAAAACGTCACCATTCCAAATAGTTCCGGTGTCCTGAGTGACGAAAAATGAACTACAGTACGGAGAAAAAGAAACGAGAAGAAAAGGCTGTAGACAGTACGCAGCCGGTTAGCAAGTCATTGGTGGACTCCCATTGCTAATCACAAAATGCACTATCAAAGCCTGATAGTAAGGGAGAATTTCAACCAGGAGTCACTGAGAAGGAGAATCTAATCTCATCGAATACTATTGTGAGTAAATTGCTGGAGTCAAGCGATCCTGATCCCAAAATCAGACACGCGCATGATTTAAAGAAGCTGGGAGAATATACCCTTAGTATCTTACCAGATAACTCTAAAGCAGTTCAGATAAAAAAATTGGTAAAAATAGGTAAGAGGACCGAGAACAACGTTGAACCCCGACCATGTGGACTTGTTAAGGTAAACCTGGGATCGGAGAATCAACGTGATCTTCTGTTAAGTAACGCTCGCAGTCACGACAATTCCGACATCCGAGTTAGACCTGATGTGTCTCTTGAAGATAGAATGAAAAGGAAGAAGTCACTAGCTGAACTAGAAACCTGTAAACAAAACGGTAAGGGAAATCTCTGGTCAGTGGGTTTTCAGATAGTCAGGTTTTGGAAGCGAATGCTACCAAGGCATGTGTGGATAGACCAAGGTTTTTCTCTGGTGGAATTGGTAATCACTCATGAGACTGAAGATATTGTCGACCTGAATATTCTTCCACCGTCAGTGAATAGCGATCACGCTGTTTTGTCATTCATGTTTAGGACTAGGGTCATAATATACTATCGGGTTACACCCCGCCCAAATGTGTAGACAGCGCAAATATGAGCCATTCAGGAATGCGCTGCTAAGACAAATTGGTTTGTAGATACTAGCTTATCAATTGAAGAAGCATGGTCTGTATTTAAAGGTAAGTTCGGTTTAGTTACGTCCTCGACCATACCATACCTGGTACCGCGAAGATCGAATAACAGTCGACCATGGATAACTAAAACAGTCAGGAAACTTCTTAGAAAAAGGAAGAAGCACTGGAAATTGTTCATCTCGACTTGCTTAGAACAATACAGATCCAGTTATTGTAAGATTAGGAATGCCTGTAAGGCGTTCATAAGTAAGACAAGACGATCATATGAAAAACGAATGGTTAGAGATTGTAGATATAGTCCGAAACGTTTATTCTCGTATATAAAAAAGCGAACTCAAAGAAGCTATGGAATTCCATCACTTTTGATACGAGACAATCAGTTAATCTTGGCAAGAAATGATACCGGAAATGCTGAATCTTTATCGGAATATTTCGGTAAATTGTTTTCTATCGGTAATAAGAACGACCAACGGTTCATTGTGGTTTTGGCGGCTCGTTGATGGAACATGTAGTCATTGAGAAAGGTACTGTTTTAAGGCTACTTCGGCATACTAAACATGATAAGTCCAGTGGTCCAGATAATATTCATCCTAGGATTATGAAAGCCATATCAGATGCAGTCGCTGAACCTTTAGCAATAC